TTATGTATGTATGTATGTATATTTATTTTCATTTTAAATTTCATTTTTACAATATGATGTATCTTAAATTAATATATAAATAAATATAAAAATAAATATAATTAAAATAGCGACTGTGACATGATGTCGTCCGTCGACTTATATTGTAATAGTAGTATTAAAAGTAGTTGTGCAATAGTGAGTATAACAATACACTAGTATAAACACATTATAAATGATAGAAGAGCCACAAACTATATATTAATTATTATATTGTGATATTAAATAATACCGATATGCTATACAATTTTTAACATATTCTGCTACTCTACCCATTCTACCTCCGAACCGTTTAAAACATTTATAATGCCTTCATAAGATAGAATAGCTTTACCAAAGCAAGCCAATCGGAATTCTTGTAGAATAGGACAACGACCAAGAAAATGCACAATATCTTCAGTCTCATCTAAATTACACATACTACAGAGCGCAGATCTACTCGTATATATATCAAATCTGTTTCCATTTAGCTGTATCATGCTACTTCTTGCTTTGAGTATCCAGGTGATATTTTTAATATGTGTTATGTCAGCTATATATTCCTTTCCTAGTGATGGTGTTAAGTCTTTATATATTCGGTTAGTTTGTTGAGATTTACTTATATATTTTGCCCTCAAATCAGCTTTCAGAAATGTCAACAGCAGTTCATTATTTGCCTTCCAAAGATTTCGCGATGCTGTTTGTTGATTCCAATTTATGCCGTAAACATTTCCCAGCTCATTTAGAACCTGCACCCAAGAAAGGTTAAGATTTAACAATTTTTTGGTCAATTGATTGGGTAATCTTTCGGTACCATATATATACATGGTTCTGAAAATGTAATTGAGGTGCAATTTTAAGGTATATAAATGTCCATCTTCCGCCCCAGTCTCTAACATTAAAATATATGTTGGCGTAAATTGTGGCATTCTCAATATTTTCTTTAAGAAGTATAATTGTAGTTTATCCACCTCTTCGAACAGAGTATAACCCCATACTTGAGCACCATATGATTGTATTGCTCTACTTATTGCTAGAAATAGATTCCATTTTGCTTTTATAGGTATGCCGTTCCTACTAAGAAAGTTGTTCCACGTAAGATTTATACTATTTTTAGCTTGTAACGTAAAATTTACACTAACTAAATTTTACTACACAAATAATACCAAACAACACAAATATAATAAAAACAAAATAAACAACAAGAAAACAAACAACAATAGAAAGAAACTTGTAAACAACGAACCGTTGAAATCACAAGAACAAAGATACTGCTTGCTTCGCACATCACAAGTATAAAAGGCGAAGCAAACGCAGTAGACGGGGATTCAGCAAGACAGCGAGCTAAGAACAGGTCGCTCTATATTACATGTGCTGAAACACCAAGAATCGAAATTTACATCTCGATTTCTATTTTGTTTTATTTTTTTTTATTTTTAATAGAAATACACATTTCTATTAAAAATCATAATTAATAACGAAATTAACATTTCGTTAATAGTAATAGAAATATAAATTTCTATTACTCTATTGTTCATAACGAAATCAAATTTTCGTTAGTAAATTACGCGGTAAGGTGATAATACCACATGAGTATTAGCACCCATACCAAATCCATTGTATGAAGAAGAAATTCACATTTCTTCAAACCTTTTGTCAGGGGCGTCGAAATTAACATTTCTACGCCAAAATCCATTGTATAG